TTTATCAGAAACTCAATCATAAGATTATAATTTTTTTTTACCAAACTTGTTAGTTGCCTTAATATATTTGTTATTTGACTTACCACTCTTGTCATTTGATACTGAAAGATGAAAATAATGGCAATTCAAATTGAAACATTTAATAATCTCAAATTCAAATGTCATTTTAGCAATACATAACTGTTATTAATAATTCATAACAGTGGTCACTCATCAACAAAGTAAAAAATATTAAACCTATTTTAAATGCAATAAGAGTGTGAAAAATTCATCTCCATTTTTTTTAATTAAAACTATCTCTAGAGACTTCTTCCTTCTGTTGAGCAAATCACATACGGGGTCCTACAAAACATTTAACATACAATCATTGATAATCACATCTTGTAAGTAGTATGAACTCAAACATTAAATCTAGCTATTAAAAATTATAACTAAGCAACACATGAATCTTCTAGCTAGGACAAATTATCTAACCACAAGTCTTCAAGAAGTCTTGAGTTCAAATCATCTTGCAATATTTATCCCCTTTAAAAAAAAAAAGAAAGACCAAATTAAAGACCAATTCAGATTTTCCTTATGTTCACATAGCATATAAGAATCAAATGAGAACCAAAATTGTTGTACCTTACTATCGGATCTACTTAGGATTTAATTAAAACCATTTTAGACTACATTGGATGGTCTTGGGCACAAAAATTCATGAAAAATGCTGATTTTTAGATTTTTACTGTTTATCGGGTAAAAATCCAGTTTTCTGGCCCAACTTCAAAAATTCATAACTTAATCTAGAAAAATTGAAATGGAGTGGTTCAAAATTCTATAAAAAGATCTTTGAATGCTATTTCAAGAAAAAATAATCTTATGAACCAATTCCATTTGAAAAAACATCAGGTTTTGTGAAATTCACCTCTGTCCATTTGGCAAAAATCCTTTTTCCAGATTTTGAACCTTAAATTTGAAAAATCATTAAACATCATGTAGTTGGCCATTTTTAACGTGCTACCTATCAATTTGAAGCTCATGATGTCAACTCTAAGCATACTAAATTTCATACAGAGATTCGTTCAGTAACTTAATAAAACGTGGCTCTAAACTGATGTTCTGCTTAAAGATTACAGTACCAACCATTGATATTTATACATAACCAAAAGTCCACGAATTTTTATGGTGTGATACCATAATTTAGCCTCCAAACTATAACTTGCTCTTAGGAGTTTCAGGCCCTAAAATGTTAGATTGTATTTGGGGGATGAGATTTTAAGAAATCCCAGTAGCAAGATCAATAAACCAAAACATTAATATGCATCAATTACAAACAATCCAACCTTTTACTATTAATAGGGAACTACTTTACCTCATACATGTAGCACTCTAACATGCAATAGCCAAGGCACATAAAGCAATGAGTATAGCTACACAATCATCATCATCTAGTTCAACCACATAATAGCACATGAAATTGCATAGCAATCAATGCAACACTCAACATTAAGGTCAATTAAATCTTACTACCTTAATCCAATGCTCTTTGATTTTCTTGTTCTCCTTTCTTGCTTCCACAAATGCCAAACCCTAACATGGCAATCCACAAAAAGGGCAGCAAGAATCATCAACCATTCCTCATAAAAATTAATAACATCACTCAAGTAACTCCTAAACCCCTTAAAGCTTCCATCTTTGTTTTTGAATTTTTAGAGTTGGTTTCCATAAGCCCTACCAATTTCCTCTTGACTCATTCCTACATGATGTTTCATGTAGATTCCAAATATTTACTTGGATTTAACAAAATAAAATTCCTTCTTTCAGTTTGAGCTTGGCCGAACCACTATGGTTCACTTTCTAAAAATTACAACTTTGATTCTATGGCTTCCAACACTTGTTCTTTAGGTTTACCCTACACTATTTTCTATTTTTTACATAATAAAAGCCTCAAAACTTTGAAAAACACAGCCTAGGGTTTAGATCTTACTTTGGCCGAAATGGATCTCATGCATTATAACAAAGAAAACACTTAAAAAGCAACCTATAACCTCTTATAACCACTAGGATCTATCATGCTTTGAGGTGTTCTAGCAAGTTTGAACAACAAAACTTCCCTACCTTCTTTATATTTATTTCGTCCAGCACAATAAAAGGGAAAGAACCAGAATTTTCAACCATCAAAAACAAGAGAATCAAGCAAGGAACAACATAGAATCAACTACTAACCTTAACTCCAAGCTTACTTGATCCAAGATGGTTGCTTTCTTCTTGTTTCCACTTCAAGCTCACTCCTTTCTCTTTTGATCTCTCCTTGGAAGAAATATAGATCTGAAAATGGGGGAGGAAGACCTCACTTAATGCTCCCAAAATATCTCATCTACCCACATTAATTAGATGCCAAATGTCAAGTGCCTACTCCTTCTTGAATTTTCCCTCTTAAATAACTTAAATCATAATGTGATTAAATTCCAAAGTCAAGATCCTCTCCATTGGTACGTTAGTACTTGGAAAGCTTTAATTACCATCCATTGAAGGCTTGACAAGTGGCAACTTATGGGCCAAGCAAAGTGCAAGACTCTGATTAACATTTTATCGGTGCATTTTTACTCCGGGTTTAACTTCTTTTCTATAATTACAGTGCTCTAGCCTCTGTAATTATTTTCTGTTAGATCCATAAATTATTCTTCTCATTTTTATCTTCCCAAATTGCCCTCTTTGTCTCAAATTTAATTTCCCAATAATTAAATAAAAAGGAAAATTATTTTCCTTCTTTTTAGTGATTTTTCCTGTTTTCAAAGGACTTGGGAAAAAATCTTGGATACTTGAGGGTCTTCTTTTAATTTCATAATCTCTTATAATTCCTTGGGATATCATAGGAATTTTCTTGGGATTTTATTCTCCTTAAAATATTTACTTGGAATTTTCCAAATAAAAGACCTTAAACTAGCTTAAATCGCTATTAAATTCCTTTGTAATTTCTCTAAGGGCAGTTTGGTCATAAAACCAATTTTATAATCCCATATAATTCTCAAAGGATATCATCCTTATTTTTTCTTAATTTTCTTAGGCTTGGAAATATTTTTTCATAATCATTCTTGACTAATTTTCCTTAATTAGTCAAACTTTTTATAATTGGCTTGGAAAACTATAATAATTATTTTCCACCAAAATTCTTCTATTTCTCCTTGTCATTTTTGACCCTTAATTATTTAGGAATATCTCTATTTCTAAATGTCATATTACTGGATGTGACAAAAATTCTTGACACTTGATATACACATAACATATTAGAAATATATAACCTTTAAAAACCACTATAGCCAAGCTAATTATAATTCATTGTTCCTTAGAAATTCCTAATCACTAATTTATTTGAGATAATGTATGATTTATGTTCCTCAGGCTTTTCCATTCACAAACTTGTTACCTAACAATTAAACATTCTACAAATAACAGTTATTCCAAAAGACTGGATATGTAAATAACAAGTTCACTGTTAGAAGTATAACAAGTTCATTATTGCAAATGACAAGTTAACTATTCAAAATAACAAGATAAGTTATGAAAATAAGAACTTCTTCTCTTGAAATAACAAGTTAGTAGGAAGAGAAAAAACAAAACATAGACATTCATGTCCTACACGAATTCCAGTCATGGGGGAAAAAAGGAAATATACTCAAACCGCATATGATATATGCATATGTTTTCAAGTAACAGTATCATTCTATTAAACAATCATATATAATATAATATTACATGATATATACAAGCCCCTGCATAGAACCATATAAGAAGGGCAGAGTCAATAAAGAAAATTTTGACACTAGCTGGGGAACTCCTGATACGATTGTTCCATATGTCTACAATATGCTCAAACAAAAGCAGCAACCTAATTAATCATCAACTCAAAAATCAACTTAACTGTAATCTTAGAAATTCACTTAAACAAACCCTTTTTGATTAGCATTAGGAAAATAATAACAATCATAACATGGGGCAATGGATCAATTCGCACCTCCAAAGTCTTTTTATAGTGTAGTGATGAATAAATCCAGAGGAGTAATTATAAAATCTATAAGCCGCATGTTGCAACATATATTGAACCAACCTCTACCTCCTTAGAATGATTTTGGTTCTTTGCTTCACCATAATACATGTTTATGAGGAAAAAAACCAAATCGATTGTTAATATATATATATATATATATGTATATGTATATGGGGTGCATTCATAGGAGTGCCTTAGATACATACCCTTATTTGACAAGCTTTGATTCATCCTCTGACAAGCATTTCTTCCAAAATGTAATGTGCAGTATTGTTCCCACAGGCCAAAGTTCCGTAATTGCGACGCCAACAACACAAAGAGAAAGACTTGAATTCACTAACAATGGTGAACCCAAATGACCTAGAACGAAACCTAGAGGCGTTCAATTTCTTGATGGGAGCCACCACCTCTACCGACAACAGTGGCGACAACTTCATCTCCCGTAATTCGAATAGCTTGTTGGGAAGAGGAGTAGTAAAAGATGGATTTTGAAAGATGGGGAGTAGAAAGAGAGGGGAGGGATCCAATGAGAGAGATTGTGACTGCAATTAAGGTTATAGGACATGTGTTTATGAGCATGGAACATATAAACATGGACGTAGATATGAGAAGAGGATATAAGAAACACGGGGACATTTTTGTCTTTTAACCAACATCTCATAATTTCTATGTGGGATTGGGTCTCTGATAAGAACTATTTAAATTCAAAAACTCAAATTGCAATTTTATATATTTTAACGTTTTTATTTATCATTTTTTCTGACTTTTATTTCAATTTACATTTGCAGAAGTAAATAAAATTCACTTTTATCAGCGCTCTCTAATCTAAATGGTAACCCTTGGATGGTGGACCGAACACAGTGACAATGTGAGAGATCTGGAGAATAAACAGAACGACGCCGTTTCGAACAGTGGCATGCTTGGCCCTTTCTTCGCCGTAGATCAACTAGACAGTTAGAATGAATCGGAGTGCTGTTTCGAGTACCGATTGGAACTCCAGCTCCGGCCGTCGTTGCTCAGTGCTCGCTGGCACTCGGCTCCGCCGTCGTGTAGCCATCTAGCGCTGCGTTTCAGGCCCGACGATTTCTTTGAAGTAAGTTCCAAAACCACCCACTTTCCTTGTTCGAGACCCCTTCTCTGATTCACCTTCGATGTCGTCCATTGCTTTCGTATGTTCTAGTTTCTTTATATGAAATGCTTTCTCCGGCGACAAAAGCTGTTGTCCACTGCTTTCAATAAAAATACGAGACTCTTCTCTATAGAACATAGCTTAACTGTATCGATATGAATGTGCGTGCCAGGAATTCTTTTCTTATGCGCTAAAACCATGGTCCTGTAAACACAATCCATTGATGAGGTCACTTGAGTAGTTTCTCCTTGCATATGCATTGACATTGGTTCAGACAGAATAATCACTGGCGAATACTTGGGTGCTTGTTTGAAATGAAAGCTAGTTTAAACATTGAGTAGATGCTCATTGTGAATGCGATTGTGCGGAATCCAAGTGGATCTACCTATTTTTACTTCAATTTTCTTTCAAACCGCTTTCACGAACCAAACTGCCCTTAATGTAATTATAATTATAATTATAAGTTCCATTGCCGTGAAAGGGCGCAAGATTTGGGAATTCAACGTCCGATCATCCCACAGTTTATATTTATTTCTGCTCTGGGTTTTTCTGCCATTTGCGCTTGAGTTGGACTTTATTTCTCATTGTCTCGCTAAATTGTCTTGTTTATAGATGGAACAAGGGAGGCAGGTCTTCGAAGTCGACCTTCTTGAAAGGTATGCTGCAAAGGGGCGCGGAGTTATCACATGCATGACTGCTGGAAATGATGTCATTGTGATAGGAACTAGTAAAGGCTGGGTCATCAGGCATGATTTTGGGGTCGGTGATTCATATGGTAAAGTTTTAGTTTTACTTATAATTTCTGAGTACCAATTTTCCATCAGCTGTTAAAAGTTGCTATGCACTTGGAGGTAGAGATGAATTTATATCCACAGGTAGAAGTTGCAGCATCCGTGTCCTTTAATTTTTATTTCTATTTGGTACTTAAATTCATCGTGTTAAGTTGTGTTCTTCTCAAGCTCAGGAGTTGTTACTAGTTTTAAAGAGGACCAGTTCTAGAAAGCTTGGCTTGATGCTAGAACCTGAAGTTGTTTCAGCAATTGGAATTTGGATATCTTACACCCCAATTTGCTTGATGAGAGTTTTCCCCCCTACATTAGCTAGTGTTTAATATCTTATTCTGTTTTGGCAATATAGAATTCGATCTCTCTGCTGGCCGGCCTGGTGAGCAATCTATCCATAGGGTCTTTGTAGACCCTGGAGGCAGTCACTGTATAGCCACTGTTGTTGGTGCTGGAGGAGCTGAGACATTTTATACTCATGCAAAATGGACAAAGCCCCGAGTTTTAAGCAAGCTGAAAGGCCTTCTTGTGAATGCTGTTGCATGGAACAAGCAACAGATAACAGAAGGTAGTCGATCACTTTTCTCTCTCTTGCCAATTACTTGATAATTTATTTACAGCAAAGATTTTCCTGCATCTATTTGTTTTTGGTGTTCTTTTCAATTTTTCAAAGCAGTTTCCACAAAGGAGTTCATTATCGGCACAGACAATGGCCAACTTCATGAACTTGCTGTGGATGAAAAGGACAAGAAAGAAAAATATATTAAGTTTCTCTTTGAATTAACAGAACTTCCAGAAGCTTTTATGGGTTTACAGGTACTTCTAGGTTTTGCTTGCTCTTTGTCCCAGTTCAATTTGTAAGAAAGATTCTATGGTTTCATTTCTTTTTGAGAAATTGAAGTGGCAGTCCTTTTAGTGTTGTTACTAAGGAACCATTGACTGGCTGATGTTCATTCTTTACAGATGGAGACAGCCAGCTTAATCAATGGAACTAGATATTATGTGATGGCTGTTACTCCAACACGACTTTATTCCTTCACTGGCTTTGGGTCACTGGAAGTATGTCGAATAACAATAAGTTTTCTAAACTTTGATTTTCCCTTAATTCCTTAGATTTTGTGTGATTATGAATTCATGAACAAATGAAAGATGCTCTGTTTGTTATTCTGATTATTTATATATGTTGCATGTTTTTGCTGCGCTATGACTGATTATTCATGATTAAATTTGATATGCAACTGTGTAGTTGTTAAAATTTCTTTTTGCTCACTTTGAATAACTTATTGCTAGGCTTTATTCATTTTCATGGTACTCTTCACTATCATCATCTGAGCTCTGCTCTACTCTCACTTGATCAATGATCATGATATAATTGCAGGCTGTTTTTTCGAGTTATTTACATCGAACGGTGCATTTCATGGAACTTCCTGGAGAAATACCAAACAGGCAAGTGGTTTAAATAATGGTACTTTTATGACCTAAGCACACACAACATAAAAATAAGAACAGATTTGGAGGCTAAAAGTTTGCTTGATTATTACAGTCTTTCTAATTAATTTTACATGCATTCAAGATTTCCCATATGATGCTTCTGTTTCTATTTGGTTTCTTTCAGTGAGCTGCATTTTTTCATTAAGCAACGAAGAGCTGTGCATTTTGCATGGCTTTCTGGTGCTGGTATTTACCACGGGAGTTTAAATTTTGGTGCCCAACATAGGTAAAATTTGACTTGGTATTATAACCACTCTCATTAATATTTGATGTTATATATTTTAATTCTGTGGATTCTTCGAATTTTAATTCAGGTGTGGTCTGTATACTTCATTAGTTTTTCTTAATATTTCTGTAAATGTTATTTTTTCATAAAATCCTTTCATGCTGTTGTTCTCCTTGGAGTCTATCTGTTTTTTCCTCCATTCTTTTGTTAACTTGTGCAGTTCTCTGAATGGGGATGAAAATTTTGTTGAAAGCAAGGCTCTTTTGGATTACTCAAAATTAGTGTCTGAAGGTGCAGAAGTAGTTAAACCAAGTTCTATGGCATTGTCTGAATTCCATTTCTTACTGCTAATAGGGAATAAGGTCAAGGTGTGTGTACTTGTCTATACAATTGTGTTCGCTTCATATTGCCTATGTAAAAACAGCTTCTTGTTGGTGGTTTTATGCCTGTCTTCTAAGTTTAAACATTTGTAGGTTGTAAATAGAATTAGTGAGCACATCCTGGAGGAACTTCAGTTTGATCAAACTTCGGATGCAGCACCAAAGGGTATTATTGGACTATGTAGTGATGCCACTGCTGGTCTGTTCTATGCATATGATCAGAACTCTATCTTTCAGGTTTTTACCCTCTTATGAGTGCATCCTTTTGTTTTCTCAGGTTTAACTGGTAATCTATACTGCTTTTGGATGTGGTAATTTTAGGTGTCTGTTAATGATGAAGGTCGAGATATGTGGAAGGTATATCTTGACATGAAAGAATATGCAGCTGCTTTAGCAAATTGTCGTGACCCACTTCAAAGGGACCAAGTATATTTAATGCAGGTACTGGTCATTTATCTACATAATCTAAGCAATTGTTTATCTGGCTCCAGATTTTTTTCTCTTTTGAAATTTCTTACCATAAAGCAAAGTCTGGTCTTTGACCGGGACTTTTTTTGTGCAGGCTGAAGCTGCATTTTCCTCAAAGGATTTTCTTAGAGCTGCATCTTTCTATGCCAAAGTATGTTCTTTTTTTAAGTTGCTTATTTGGTTGCATTTAGTTTGTAAATTAATACATGAATTACCTTTACTTTGTGTCAATTACAATTAATTGAAAATAAATGTGCCAGTCCATTTAAACTCTCAACTTCAAAATACATAGAGCCATGTTATTTTTTGAATTTGTAATGCCATATCCTTACGCTAGGCCACTTGATATATTATACTAGTGCTGTTATTAAATTTAAATTTTTATAGTTGCAACCCTTTTTATGGCATTTGGTCTTATATGCATTGCAAAATTCTATTCAATTAATAATGACAATTTACCATTTATCATAAAGTCATGTCAAGTTGGACCAATGCCATATCTTTCGCTCAAGTAGTAATTTGGTTTTTATCATGGGAATGAGAGAAAATATGATAGTGATTTCATTTGCAGATTAATTATATTCTATCATTTGAGGAAGTCACTCTGAAGTTCATCACTGCTGGTGAACAGGTAATTCCCATATTGTTGCTCTCTTTAGCTATATGGAACTCCGGGGCTAGCCTTCTCTTGTCATCTTAAACCTGGATTTTTTTTACTGCACTACTTGTCAGTTTGTTTTAATTACATATGTGAAAATTCACCGTTATATCTTCTTATTTGCAGGATTCTTTGAGAACTTTTCTATTGCGGAAACTTGATAGTTTAGCAAAAGATGATAAATGCCAAATAACAATGATATCCACATGGGCAACTGAGTTATACTTGGACAAGGTTCTTCTGAAATCTTGGCACTTGGAAGGACAATTTGTTCCTCATTTTTATTTTTCTTTATATCCTTTGCTATGCTCTAACCACATTGTCTGGTAATGGAAGAGAAGGATGCTTATTTTTATAAAATAATCCCAATATCTCTTTTTAAACCTGACATGTATTCTCAGCATTTTGCGTTCCTCTTTGTCTACACACACACACACACACACACACGCACACATATTTTTTTTCACCAGAGCTCTGTCTATATTGACTGCAGAACTTTTTTGTGTAACTATAGCCTTGTCAAAAGAGTTAGAGGATGTGAAAGTTTATTCTTTGTTGGAGAAGCAAAATAATCCGAACCATCCATATGAAATGAAAAAATTGCCATGCCTGGCAGTAAACTGGCTAGTATCAGTTTATGATTTGGTTTTAGGAGTTGGGAGAGAGGGGGAAAAAAAGGAAATGCAAGGGTGCAATTTCTGGGACTCCTTTGAGATTTTTTTTTGGTGAAAGACTCCTTTGAGATTTTTGGAAAATAGAACTGCTACTTCAAATATATTCTTTACGGATTGAATTAGGACATTTTTTATTTTAAATTGATTTGCTTTCATATCCGATCTTTAGATAAATCGACTGCTTTTGGAGGATGACTCTGCTTGGGAGAATCACAACTCAGAGTACCAATCAATCATTAGAGAGTTCCGTGCTTTTCTCAGTGACTCCAAGGATGTATTGGATGAAACAACAACGATGAAACTTTTGGAAAGGTATAGTTTGGTTTATACTTGATACAAATACTTCAATGTGTCTTTTCTTCAATTTTATCAGGACAATTACTTTAGATAACACAGTTGAGTGCTCTCAACTCTTTATATTATGAGGAATTCAGAGAAGAAAACGTTCTTTGATCTTTTGTTCTATTATGCAAAAGATTGCTACAAAATATAAAGGGAGCGTTGACCACATGACAAGCTGATCAATCCCACAAAAGAAATAAGACATGTACAGCGGTTAAGAATAATAATTAGCCAATGGATAATGACACAAAAGAAAATAAGATAATTACACCAGAAAACATATATGAAACGAATAAAATCCTTCTAGAAAGGTCAGGAAGCCAGCAACAGGAGGCTTGAGATTCCAACATGTAAAGTTTACCATTGTATGAAAAAATGAGACAAAAAGCCAAGAGTGTGCTTTAAGCAGTCGTAAGAGGTACATGGCTGCTGCTCGATTTGAACAGTTTGTAGCCTTGATTCCTTTGATTGCTATAGTGAAACTTCCTTAAGGAAACTGTTATATTTCTAAGATGCGTCCTTGAATTTTTTTGAATTTTTGTCTACGGATGAAGTGTATGTAGTTGACTGTCACACTGATGCTTTGTTCAGCTCCTTTGTAATTTTGTATCTCCTGAAATTACAAATTGAGAACAGGAACTAGAACACAATTTGTTATTTTTAAAGAACGAAGTATTGGTTTATTGATGTCTTTTTGTGGAAGATGCTATATGTAAATATCAAAACATGAAAATATTAACTCCTTTTTGTCGTGCATGCATGGATACTGTGCGCACGTTTTCAAAAAGGTTCAAGTATTATTTGGCTCTAAGTGGATCATACCAACTAACCCTAACCCTATGCATTTTATTTTTCAGTGATATTGAGTTTTAATGCCTTGTACTTGAATCCAAACGCCATCAATATTTCAAAGTCATTCTGCAGTTAATTTTCATGTCACTTTGGCAGTACAGAGTTGATGTTAGAAGTAGCAAATCCAAGCGCATTTATTTGGGCTTAGATATTTCCAGTAATTGTTATTATTAAGTTTTTTTTAAATGTTTAATTAAGAAGTTTTTACAGTCAGATTAAATCTGATTAGTATTTTATCTTTGTCTAGATTTTTCTTGCTGTGTGTTAGATTACCCCTAGTTTAGACCCTATTTATGTATTGCTTCATCAGTAATGGACAGCAAGCTGAGAAACATTTTTACTCAGCCTATTTTCTACAGTTGAAATCTTGGTTAAAGGTATCTTGTACGCTACCATCATTTTATAATTCTACTTTTGTAATTTTCAACAGTTATGGAAGGGCTGAAGAATTGGTTTATTTTGCTAGCCTAAAAGGCCAATATGACATTGTTGTCCATCATTACATTCAGGTGGTTTAATCTTTACTCAGGTTCCAGTTCCTGATCTCTTTTGTTGTTAAAATATAAAATCCATGAGTGGTTATCTCTACCTTATTCCTTCTTAATGCTTCTTATTGTGGGTTTTCAATTCAGCAAGGAGAAGCGAAAAAAGCATTGGAAGTGCTCCAGAAACCTGCTGTGCCTGTAGACCTTCAGGTACCGTTCAAGCTCTAAGATTTGGGCTGTGATGGTCTATTTGCCTATTCTATCTTGCTTCCTGAGCTTATGTCGTTGCTACTCTGATTATAGGTTGGAGCCTAGTAATTACTGTTTAAAAAATCTTACAAAGTAAATGTTGGGTTCATTATGCAGTACAAGTTTGCTCCAGATCTTATTGCTCTTGATGCATATGAAACTGTGGAGTCATGGATGGCTACGAAGAACCTGAACCCAAGGAAACTTATTCCTGCAATGATGCGTTACTCAAGTGAACCTCATGCAAAGTACAGCTTATTCACTTCTGTGTGCCTATCACACTGTGCAGAAAAGAGTTCATAAATTTTCTTTTCTTTTCTTCATGTGGCATGCAGGAATGAGACGCATGAAGTCATCAAATATCTTGAATATTGCGTTCATAGGTTGCATAATGAAGACCCTGGAATTCATAACCTGTTGCTTTCTTTATATGCAAAGCAGGTTGAATAGTTTACTCGTTAGATTGATGTGCTTTTTATATCATGATTATGGTAACTTTCTCAGATTCTGATTGCATCATGGTATCATAAAGGTGCAATATCTAGATGGAAAGATGTGTACTATCATGGGATAAATGGTTGTTATTAATCAGTCATGGTTGAGATGCCTTTGTATGGAATTAGTAATCTCTGCCTGGTTTATGTCATGCACTTGAATTCTGAAATTCTTCTAATATTTAATATCAAGTTTAAAACTGAAATGTCATGGTTGAGCCGGCATTTGTAAACATATAGCAAATTTATATCAATCCACATTAAATTATTCTTATGTATGAAAACAAAAGCCTTCATCTTTACTGTGTGTTCATCATTAAAATGTTTTAGCATGATTTTTATTAGTATATATGCACCCGGCCTTCTTCACAAAATCATATGCAACATGGAAATATCTATTGACACTTGATTTTGAGTCTTAGAAGTTGTATCATTTCTTATTTCCTTCAGGGGAAATTTGGTTTGTCTTCATGAGATCTGAAGAAATGGAGGACTTATTTTGTTTGTACGAGACTTTAGGCATATATGTATTTCACTTAGGTTTCCTTGCTAATGACCAGGAAGATGATAGTGCACTTCTTCGATTCCTACAATGCAAATTTGGAAAAGGACAAGAAAATGGCCCCGACTTTTTCTATGATCCTAAGTATGCTTTACGTCTTTGCTTAAAGGAAAAACGAATGCGTGCATGTGTTCATATATACAGCATGATGTCTATGCACGAAGAGGCTGTTGCTCTTGCACTCCAGGTAACAGTAATGCTTTTAGTTCTTGCAGTCCAATCTATCATAGGCATTCTTGCAATAATAATTTAGTTTAGTTCAAATATCAGCTTTATGAAAGTTTTGATATGTTGGATCAGTTTTAGACATGTCTTCTGAGGATGCTGGTGGTAGCATAACATTTTCATTAAGTTGATGAACAATTCATGGATGAAATCCTGAATATATTTTTGTGTCCGGTCCTTGGCTCAAATAATGCCTTCCATTGGAAAAGTATTTGGACTACTGGTGTGTTGACAGCTTTAGGCTTCGATCTGTCTTTTTTATATTCCCCCTACTCCATTCTGGCTGGATTCTGGCTGTGATGGCTAAAGCCCAAAGGCTGCAGTCATCCTGTAATCATGGAGCTCTTCAAGATCTATGTAAAAAGTTAAGCCATTTTGAAATAGAGGTCCTCTGATTTGTGATGTCTTCACTGCTTATGCATGAAAGATAATTTTGAAGTCTTTTACCTTTCTGTAATTCTTTCTTAAGATTTTTGGGATTCTGTAGAGAAAGTCGCTTTATTTTGTGTTAGGTTGATCCAGAACTAGCTATGGCTGAAGCTGATAAAGTTGAAGATGATGAAGACTTGAGAAAGAAGCTTTGGCTCATGATTGCCAAGCATGTTGTTGAACAAGAAAAAGGAACCAAAAGAGAAAATATAAGGAAGGCAATCGCATTTCTTAAAGAAACTGATGGCCTGTTAAAGATTGAGGATATACTACCCTTCTTCCCAGACTTTGCCCTGATAGATGACTTCAAGGTATGGCTAATTTTCGCTCTACTTTTTCCACCTACATTGATTAATTTCAGACTCCGGCTCTAGTCTGATCAATACATTCGATGGTACTAATTTTAACACGAAATCTGTAGTGCCCCCACAAGTAAGGCACGATGAGCATCTCACTGGAAAGTGTAGAGAGGATGGAGAAAATAACCCATTCCTTTATTACTCGTCTAGGATCAAAGAATACAAAACGTTCATTTAGAATTTTTTACATCATACCCTTATGATCTTGTGTATAAAAGATAAATAATATAATCACCTATGCTTGTAACAAGTTCATTTGATATGAGATAAGAATCCATTGTATGGTGAGGCATTCGATCCACGTATATTCACTACAAAGGAAAAAAGAACTTGATTGGTAATTGAAATTTATTAAGAGAATTGAACCCTCCAAATTGATCTTTTTGGGTTTTAATCACCATAATTTTACTAGTGGATCGTGTATAAAACGTGATTCTTGTCAGCCCAAGCATATGCTACTTTTGAGAAAGTAATAAGCCGTGACCGTTCAGACATCTTGGCAATGTTATATTGTCTTTTTTTCCTTTTGGGATGTATCTGAAGAATATAGGATCCTTTTATGCCAAGTATTTCTGTGCTTATGATAATTATATTATTGAACTTATTTTTTCTGATTTCCTTCATTGGGGAATTTGTCCGAATGAATGCAGGAGGCTATCTGCTCATCATTGGAGGATTACAACAAACAAATTGAACAGCTGAAGCAAGAGATGAATGATGCAACACATGGTGCTGACAACATCAGAAGTGATATCAATGCACTTGCTCAGAGATATGCTATTATTGATCGGGATGAGGAATGTGGGGTATGGATCTTCCCAATAGTTGTGATAGAGCAGCGCCTCTTTCATTTCAAATTGTTCAGATTTTGACTTGGTCATCAGATATATTTAATCTTTTTCTGGCCTAACATTAGATGTATTAAATCTGATCTGCATTAGTTTTGCTGCTCACTGCATACTCAGGTCAGGACTAACTTGTCTCTACATGCTCAAGTTTGGGCTCACTTTTGAATTTGCTTCATAGGTATGTCGACGAAAAATTCTAACTGCTGGCAGGGAGTACGGCACGGCTCGTGGTTTTACATCAGTAGGACCAATGCCTCCCTTTTATGTCTTTCCATGTGGACATGCCTTCCATGCACAATGCCTGATTGCCCATGTGACTCGTTGCACTGATGAAGCCCATGTAAGTACAATATCGTTTCCTCCTATTTATTATTAGACATCTCATAATGACTTTTCTCCTGTACTGCCTTAAATTTTATCATTCTCAACAAGATCTTTATTTGTAGGCGAGGTCAGTGAATTATGCCATTCAAGTTTACCTTTTTTTTCCCCAACAAAGAAAACAAATTTGACAAATTTTAAAGGCAATTATCTCTGGGTGTTAGGAAAAAAAAAAAAGAGTAGATTTGGTTCTTAAGGAGTTGATAGGGGTCAGTACTCTTGGTTTCCTGGAAGCAAACCATGGGAGAATACTCCTTTTTCCCCGTTTACCCTGAGTTTCTTGAATTTTTGTTATGAATTCATTAAATTAAAAGAAAATACACTATGCTGTCGCACAAAAATGCTGCCTGCACCTCAGTTTTGTGGTCTGACTTGTAAGAGTTCGGTACTCTTGGTTTCCTGGAAGCAAACCATGGGAGAATACTCCTTTTTCCCAGTTTGCCCTGAGGTTCTTGAATTTTTGTAATGAATTCATTAAATTAAAAGAAAATACACTATGCTATCGCTCAAAAATGCTGCGTGCACCTCAGTTTTGTGGTCTGACTTGTAAGAGTTCGGTACTCTGGGTTTCCTGGAAGCAAACCATGGGAGAATACTCCTTTTTCCCAGTTTACCCTGAGGTTCTTGAATTGTTGTAATGAATTCATTAAATTAAAAGAAAATACACTATGCTATCGCTCAAAAATGCTGCCCGCACCTCAGTTTTGTGGTCTGACTTGTAAGAGTTCGGTACATGTATGAAACATGAAGTTATGATCTGAGCGTAGATATCTAGTTTTCATGATAACCTAGTTGACATTTGAGAATGAAACTTGATCTCGTTTTATTGGCTATGAAGTAAAACAGCTTCATCTTCACTGTACTTGGAAATGCTTAATACATGATTGGGATAACCCCTTGTTACCTATTATTACTATGGGATGCATATCGTATTTTCGGTCGGCATGCTAGTTGAAGGTGCTGAGGGGCTGGTATTCAGGCTAGTGTCTCTCACAACACGAGAGATGCTGCCAGAGGGCGCTTTTCTCTGCTTTCTAGGAGAGCACCTTCATTCTCACCTCTCTTGATCATTTGGCGTAGATAAAAAGCTATCTTCATTTGGCTTGTCTAATGTTTAATTATTAACGGGACCACATTGCTTCCCATAGCAGTGTAATTGCCCCTATCCTAAATTAATATTCGTTCTTATTATAGCTTTATCAACATTTTAAACTGAATCTAATGGAATTTGTGAATGTTGCAGGCTGAGTACATACTGGATCGGCAAAAGCAGCTTTCTTTGATGGGTGGTGAAGCAAGGAGGGACTCCAATGGTGCCCTTTCTCCTGAAGACTCAACCATACCTAGCATGAGCCCAGCAGACAAGGTTTGTTCAGAATATTTTGTTATTATGCATTAAGTAACAGGTATAAGATGAAATTGGGGAAAAACTTGCGCTGTGCTTTTGTTGTTGATCTTCATTCTGAATTCTACATATTCCTTGTTTTTTTAATTGTACATTCTCGTGGTGTTATGGCGTATACTTGACTGCTGGAATCACTCTTGAAGAAAATCAATCTATAACTATTACTCCTCCGGTCCTTAATATAGGACCCAATTCTTGAGTTGGTTTTGGTCCTAAATATAAGACCCATTTCTCATATTTTTTAATTTTCTCTAAATTACCCCTATGGATACTCCCCCAACCATAATCAAGTAGAAGAGGGAGAGGGGGTATTAAGAAAGATGATTATGGTGTTTTAGGAAAAATGTGTCACTTTTCTTATAATTAACTAATTTACCTAACTTCCTTAATCTAATCAAATTAGTTAAATGGGTCTTATATTAAGGACCGGAGGAGTATTTTATTTTCCATTTTATGCGTGAGCATTTTGGCTCACTCTACATTACACCAACAAATGCTTAAACTTGAATGAAAAATGTGAAGTTAGCAAATGTACTGATAGTTAAATTGATGGCAGCTCCGATCACAATTGGATGATGCAATAGCCAGTGAATGCCCATTCTGTGGCGAGCTGATGATCAAAGAGATTTCTTTGCCTTTCATCCTTCCCGAGGAATCGCAGCATGTTGTGTCGTGGGAGATAAAACAAAATGTTCACGTTGGAAGTCAGAGAAATATCCCTCTACCTGTGTGATAGACTAGGATGCTGCGTGCTTGCTGTTACTTGCTTCTGGTTCACTGTTATGCTTAAAACTTCCGATGGCACAGGTTGGAAGGCTGGAACTCAATGGAATAGGATGTTTCATGGAGTGTGTTGGTTGGTTGTGGTTCTTTCAATACATGTATGTGTGTGTGTGTGTGTGTGTGTGTTGTTTTCATTTATGAGAATTTTCATTCTGACCCCATATTGTAATTCATACACCCAATGCCCACTATAAATCGGTTCTCGTCATGTTTTTCCCCTTGAGGTCAGTCTCTTGATATGTACTTTTTTGTAACTAATCGTTGCACTAATGTATTTTTGGGCATTGTGTTATTAGTAAGCTTCCTCGTCCCAAGGTTTAGCTCTTCCTTTCTTATTATTTTTACTTTTTCTTCAATCAGCGATTGTATTCTTCCTTGCTCAATACAAGATGCCTCATCAGTTAACAGTTATGGCTCCAGAACCCGCATGAATGAAGCATCCCAGCTATGTGAATGATGTCAAATCCTGAACCATTATCTCATGTGGAAGCAACTCAATCCCATCTTTTATATTCATCAATAATATTTTAAAGTGAATGCATAAATTAAATGTTGATTTTTTATATCTAATAACTTTTTTGTATGTTATCTGCATCTAAATAGGTTGTAATTGAACCTGGTGATTGTGTTATCTAACTGACCCGATAAATCATTTTGATTGGTCAGAAGCGTGAAAGTTCCTCCATCATTTGCCAGTGACTCTTGAGAGCATAGAACTTCTAAAAAGAATTGGAGCAGCAATAGATGCAATTATCATTATCCTCAAAAGTACAGTCTCCAGTCGGAGAAATTACAACCTAAAAGACCAAGCTTCCCTCAACGATTAGAGTTCAACTTTTTTCGGGCCAAACTATTACAGTTCTACGTTAAAGTTTAAACACAACAACCATTCATCCACTACCGAAGTTGGTCAACCCCTTTTTTGACCCAATCGGTATCCGTCAAACACGATTCGGATCAAATCTCTATCAACATATATTATCTCCGGCGACCTTGGCTCTACATATCAGCCCTCACCCCAGCAATTCAAGTACATGACTTTTCGCAGAGAATCGTCGGCTTGCCTTAATCAGCAATCGTCATCACAGTTCTCCATGAACATTTGATCCCATCATGCCAGACAATAGTCTAGGATCCGACGAGTCTCCGGCGAAGGACAACCTTCTTCGGTTTTGTTGAATGGACTTAAGGCTGGTTATGCACTTTTGGCCAGGGTACTAACGTGTGGCGGCCATCCAAACACTGCTTGGGCAACTCATATTTCTGGCTGATATCTTCACGAAAATAATTCGGAAATGTTGGATAATTGAGAAGGGGAGAGGAGCACGTAGACACTGTCATTTATAGAGGAAGAAGAGACGAGAAATTTAAGCATTAACAAAGGTTGAGGAGCAGCCGTTTGCGCTGCAGTTTAGAGATTCTCTCATCATCGGTTTTCTCCTCATCCCTCGTCATCTCTAAATCTCATCCATCCAATAAATCTGACAGCTGAAAAAGAGACACATCATGAGACTTTTAAAATCACATCTAAAACCTCCGTTTTCTTATTATGCAAAACACATAATAAAAACTTCTGATAAAATTTGAAACTATAGAAATTTAAAAATATCTTAACAAATTAAACATACAAAGCTACGATCCAAAAAAAAAACACATATACAAAGAAAATTTATAATAGGTGCAACAAAAAGAAAAAAATTTCTAAATGGAGATAAGTTTGAGTTTAAAAAAGATACTTTTTCAATCTTTAATATAAGACATATTTAACTAATTTGATTAGATTAAGAAAGTTAGGTAAATTAGTTAATTATAAAAAAATATGATATATTTTTTTCTAAAATACCATAATCATCTTTCTTAATATCTTTATTCCCTCTTTACTTGATTATTGTTGATAGAGTATTTGTAGAGGTAATTTAGAAAAAATTAATAAATATGAAAAATATGTCTTACATTTAGGATCAAAATCAACTCAACAATTAGATGTTATATTAAGGACCGGATGAGTACTATCTATTGTTTGATAGAGAAAGAGTTATTTTTGCCTTACTCCTCTTGGAATGAAAACGAAGCCACCGAAACGGATATCTATTTCATATAATTAAGTTAGCAAAATGAGAATGAATGTTGAAGACTTGAAGCTTTCTAGTCGATGATGGAACAATGAGAATGTTTCCTGCCAAGCTGAAATTAAGAAGGAGCAGAGGTGAAAATTTGCGGTCAGGATCACAACACTTGGATGGTGAAGATTCATTTTTCATAGTCTTGTGTTGTGGTACATTGTAAGCTCTTCGATCACTTGAATGGACAAGATTTAGAGATGATAAGGGATGAGGAGAAAACCGATGATGAGAAGATCTGCTCCCGCCAACCTTCTTTACGGGTAAAACAACAGCAACATTCCTTCTTCCTATTAATTTCTGATTGTGTGTATGAGCTGAGGAAAAGACTACCCCACTAACTTCGGTCCATTTTCAATCCAACATTCTCATTCCTGTGAATGTAACCTCAGGGCGTTTGTAGAGCCTGGAGGCAGTCACTGTATAACAGAAGGTAGTTGATCACTTTTCTGTCTGTTGCTAATTACTTAATCATTTATTTTCAAAAAGATTTTCCTACATTAACATGAACTTTTTGAAAATTTTTTGACGTAATAGGAATTACAAAAAATCATGCCAACCTCAACATATATGTGTGTGTGTGAGTAAATTGTCAAAAACATTATGCACTGTTGTTCTTCAGGTTTGCACAGTGCTTTCCTATACTCCGCCGCAAATCCAAATACAGCAAGAGTTGAATATCAGGGATTCAAGGGCTTTTTTTTATCTAGATGCTGTAAACAGTACGAAAAAACACCAAAATGCGACAAAGTCAAAAGTATTCACTGAATTGCTATATTTGAAATCATTCTATTAATTTCTAAAGAGCTGAGATTAACAGCGTTTTCCCAAGGGCTGCAGCGATTCTTGGCAGCATGGTGACAGCTCAAGAAAGACTCACAGGGGTAAATTTCCAAGACAAGCAAATGGAGACTTACATGCGCGGGTCTACTACCACTGACTTTGAGTGCTGGGTGGACGTCGATGGCGCTTTTTCTCACAGTACGAGCAGTGCTGCATGTGGCAGTGTCCTCAAAGATGGAAACGGGAAGATCTTAGAAGGTTTCCAGTTCAGACTACAGACAGGAGACGCCCTCGCCGCTGAGTTATGGGGATGTATGTTGGGGCTTAAGAGAGCTTGGGACAATGGCTTCAGAAATCCTGTGCTAAGATGCGACTCTCAAGAGGCCTTGACCCTTATCAAGCATGACTAGGATTCAAACCCAGATGAAATTCTGACCATCTTTCAGAGAAAAAAGAACGAATGGATCTTGTAGGATTCCCAAGAAATTCTTTCACGCTCATGTCACGTCGAGGTACTGCAGAAGAAAAAACCGCAAAATCCAATCCAATTTATCGTAATCGATTAGTTAACATGTTGGTTAACCGTATTTTGAAACACGGAAAAAAATCATACACGGGGTTTGTAAATAAGTGATTGTCTGATAATGAGCAAGGAATATCTGTCCTTCTACTAAACAGGATGTATTGAACTCTGTGAAGATACGTTGTTAGGTGTTCCATTTTTATTTTTCCATTGAGGCCGAACCTAAACCTGTGCTCGAGAGATAGCTGTCCATAAGGGATGTATGAATTCTCGAGAAGAGAGGAGCCGTGGTGGTCCCCCCGGACCGCCCGGATCCCACGAGTCATCCGCCCTGCACCCACCCCCCTATATGCTTCAACAGGAATCACACAGAGGTAGATTGATACAATAGAAACCTCAGAAAACTGCCAAATAAAATGTGTCCCAAGCCGAAATATCACAAGTACCACCCTGTCCTGGACTATCGCAAGGAAAACTAAGAAATTGAATTTCAATTATTTGTGGAAACATATCAATTGGTAGAACCCTTGATAAAAGAAAAAGATGCTGTATATGAATCACTCACATATTTCTAGAAATTCGAGTGGAATAGAACAAACGATGTCGAGAAAGAGTACCTTCATTTCTATATAATATAAAAATGATGGATGTAAGAATCCACGGCTAATGGCGCCGGATCTTCACGAGGATTACAGGCTCATCAGGGAAGTAAAAGACATGATTGACCGTGAATGGAGGGTGGAACTTAGCGCGCACTCGCTGTTAATCGCTGCTGCCCTTGGGAACACGCTGTTAATCTCATGATGTTATTTTTTCAATATTTATTATTCTTTAAATTAATGAAAATATTAAGAGAGAGATATATATATCTAATTTGTAATGGTATATATTCAAATTAATTAAATATGTTTATATGAATTTAGATACATTTATTAAATATATATCGTAACAAAAATATAAAGAAAGAGAATTTGAAAAGAAAAAAGAGAAAGGGAAATCAATTGAAATCAAGTGATGAAGTTTTGATTTTTCAAATTATTCATTAGAAGAATGATTTTTGTTCACTTCATACAAATCATTATTTGTTTTTGAAGAAATCAATAACCAAAATGATGATTTTAGAAGTTGTTCATCTCAAGAATGTTGGAATATTTTTAAAATGACGAGATGTGTTTTTAAAAAGTCATATCCTTATATAAATTTATTAAGTTAATAAATTTATATGAGAGGTTATGTTTTCATATAAATTAATAAATTTATTTCAAGATTTGTATTCTCATATAAATTAATATATTTATATGAAATATTATGTAGGAAGTTAAAACACCAAATGACCCTACATATTAAATACATTGTATTTATTTAAATTATGTTGGTTCATGAACCAACATATGGTTGTGACTTTTTATTAATAAGGTATTATTCCAAAGGATATCTCTTCAAGACATCATTCCATGGTCTATATAAACCCCTCACCATCACTTCATTTAGAGATAACACAACACAAACACTAATATCAAACTCATTACCTTTGTCTTTGAGTGCATGTAGAGATAGAATCAAATTATCATTTTGTAAAAGCTATTATTGTCTTTACTTGAATCTTGGAAGTGCAATCTATATTCAAGGGTCTTTGTTGTATCCTAAAGGAAATTTGTCAGGCTTCCTAACTTGCACCTTATAAGATAAGAATATGTGGGGGCAAATTAAACCTAAAGGACAGTGCTGCCCACGTTTTGAAGATATCGTGCACCACTTTCTTCTTCATCTCTTCTTCTTGTACTTTCAAAGAACCATTCTCGCCAAATGGAAAATGATTTTACTTGTAGCATTTTGATCATTTCTTTCCGTAAAATAGTATTTTGGTATTTTGTTTTACTATTGTTAG